GAAGATCACCCAAAAGGACTTCTTCAGATGCTATCTTACCTGGAGACGTTAAAGGAAGCATTCTCTGAGCTGCATCGCATTGTTCTGATTGCCTGTACCTTACCTGTTTCATCAGCTGAATGTGAAAGAAATTTTAGTTCAATGAAGCTGATAAAGAATGAACTCCGTTCAGTAATGAAACAGGAGCGTCTGGATAGCCTTATGATGTTGGGAATTCACCGCGAGCGAGGAGAAAAACTGCACTTAGATAACGTAGTAGATAGGTTCAAAGCCAGATTTCCCAAATGGAGAATTTCTCTTTGAATTTGGATGGGTTTTTCTGTGGGAGTTTTTTTGGGTTTTTTTTTTATATAAACATATTTATTTAGACACATTTTCTCCAAGAGCTCATAGCTGATCGTGGGAGCTCATAGCTCATCATGGATAATAACTACACTTCCTAAAATTTTATGTTTCCGCGAGGGACACGCGTGTCTGAACTTCCTACTGTATAAACTTTGTATATTGATTCGTATATTTTATAAAGAACACATTATGCTTGCTCAATTGTATATTTTAGTTACATAAAATATGTTAGTATGTATTCATTAATTTCTACTTTAATACGCATAACCACGAAAAAATTTGCATAGCCCCCCCGTCGGGGAACCTAGCCCCTGCGTCGGGAAATTTCTGGCGCCACCACTGTGACTCAAAGCAACACTGGATATAAATAATCACAGCAGAGAACTGAGAACGTGATAAAAAGTGTACACTATGTTACGTAAACTGATATTGTAAATTATAAGTATAAATTAACCTAGTCAAATAAATGGTTCTTCACTCGGACTCTGTCGCGTGAGTATGATCAACTAAGAAGTATATATAGAGCGCTCCGGCCTCGGTGGTTAATACGCCTGTTGTGAAAACATAATTTCTTGACTAATAAGGCCAGAAAGGAATTAAATTCATTACGGCCCAGAATAGTATTCATTTGACGCAGCTAGTACACAACCAGTGACTAAGGAATAAATTGCGCGCAAACAGTATATAGATACGGCACGTTTCAGCAAACGCAAATAGACGAAAGCATGACATACTTGAAGCGTAAACAAGCAACGAGCTTAACTGTGGTATGACTGACGTGCGAACTGAGGTACTTTAGTACTTATATTCCTAATAGTTTATTGCGTTCTTGGTATACTCAACTTCGTTTACTTCAATTAATTTCATTTCGCCTATTCTGTCATAGTACGGACTGTATAAATTCTAGCTATATCCAACTATCTACAATGGATTATATACAACGAAAATATCTACAATATGCCACAACTAACGACATCTGAAACCTACACTGCTACAACAACATTGATTTCGCATTTCGGCGGCTTATAAGCGATAAATCGTCGTATGGTGATATCATTGCATTGATTTACCAATGTATCGCATCTACATAAGGCAGATTTATTTGGATTTTGTTTAAATTATCAAAAAATCCCAATTCAACGCAGTTGAAGCTACATTGTTTATAGTATTTACAGATAGGAAGAGTGCACTGTGTCACACTGCATACGTCATCATGACCTCTTGGCCGCGCGAGGATTTCATCAGCTAAAATTTTCGTAGCCCAACTTTAAACGCAAAATTCACAAACTTCTAGTTCGAAGTATTCAACAAGGTTGGTATTAAAATGATCAGAAAAGATGAAATTTTCAGATAATGCAAAAATCACAAAATTGAAATTTTCATTGCATATACACTTTAAGAAGCTGCTTTAAATTCCCAAGAGCAGAATATCGTGCGCTTTACAAAGATATTTCAATTTCTTAATCAGCTTATTCGTTCAGCTTACAAATTTAAATGTTACAAATTTTAATGTTGCTATAGGGGCAGCCAAATTCAAAGAATACATTATTTCAATAGTTTTGTTTTTTGGGATACCCTGTATAGGGTTAAGAGACAAGAGTAATGTAAATCTGTTCTGGGCTTTCGTAAAATTTTTAATCACACGGACGACTAACTAATTTTATATACGTTTGTAAAACGGAATCTAATTTCGAAAAAAATCAATAACAAATAATTTTATTGTCGCATGTACGGCTGGAAATCAACAGATATTCTGATGACGCAAACCCTTCTAACTCATTTGCACGGCTACATTCGTCGGGATATAAATTTAGGATATAATTATATCACCAGACGTTAACATAGCATTTTTGTTTTTTTCTTACCTTCGACATTTTACACTCTCCTTCGACATTTTACCCTCACCCTCTTCATTTTACCCTCGCCCTCGTCAACTGACCCTCGACAGTCCACATTCGACCAATGGGTAAACGCTCAACCACATGTCATACTTTAATTGCTATCATTTGGATGCGCATGCAGTGGAAACGCAGAATTAGCTTATAGAAGTCACATAATATAACTATGATAATTTCGGTCAGACGAATTTTTTGAGCGTTTTTCCATGTCGAAAGTTAAACAAAAATTTCCCGCAGTATACGCAGGAAATTGTATTTTAGATGTTCTAGATTTCAAAATATTCGGCTGTGAAATGCCCTCAGACACGTGGAACTACCTGAAACATTGGTTGGGTAAGCCCCTGTGTGTCCACAGCTTAGCAGTTTCAACTTTTCTGAAAGTGATACTTCTCCGACACTGAAATTATGAAAGGTAATGCATGTTAATGAAGTTACGAATACGAGACTCATATGTCAATCGTTGCGTTGGGTATCTTATAACGAAAGTATTTCGCAAAAGCGACCGAGCGATCGCGACCACAGATCAGAAAGCATGTTGAGCAAGAAAGTAAGATAAAAGGGATATACTACATACCGAGCCAAGGATTCGAGCTCGGATTCGAGCTCGGATTTATTCGAGCTCGGAATCGAGCTCGGAATCGAGCTCGGAATTCGAGCTCGGAATTCGAGCTCGGAATTCAAGCTCGGAATTGAGCTCGGAGTCGGACTTTAAGTTTTATTATAGTCTAGGACCTGTACACGAGTTTGTATGTGTTTCATTTAGCACAGGTAATCTCAACTGTTTTAGGGTAAAATGACCATGGCGGTCAACATGGTATATGTGCCAAAACCTGAATCCGGGACAAAAGTCCTGAAAATGACCCCACCCTGAAACGGCAGTGTCGGCATAGCTGTAACTTCAGAAAAGCGATAGCCTGCTTATAGTGTTCAGAAGGGTTGCTTTTAGGGGTGGTCAGTAGCCTGAAATGCCAGGCGTTCTCCCCGTTTCAACCTGACATTTCAGGCTAGGGTTGTCAGTGGAAGGAAAAATTTGTCTAAGTATAATTTTTACAAGAAAATGACCATGCACCACCCCAAGTAAATTGCTAATTATGCATAAATAATTAATATGCCTGGCGGAAGTGAAATATCCCTATTTCCTAAAAATAAATATCATGAGGATTGTCATAAGGATTGTCACTGTTTTCTTTAAATATAATACCATATTTTGTAGTCTTGTTTGCTTTTTATCGCCAACTGAAATCTGGCAAATATCATCCAGTTGTTGCACTTTTACATAATCATAAATTGTTGAAGAAGATTTCAAAGGTTTCATCAGGTTTTGGAACAGTGCAGTAATCAGGTAATCAGTGCAGTGCAGTAATCAGTGCAGTAATCAGTGCAGTAATCAGGTTTGGGAACAGCAATACTGAAATATGGCGCCATTAATTGCAATGGCTCGCCGCCTCTCTGCCCGATAAATGCCACTTATTCGTCTTGCTGTGTATTTAGACATTACAGTATCCAATAGTACTTCATTGTAGAATAGTCCCAATCGAATCCCATAAAACTTGTTGAATATAACAATCCAAATTCGAAAAGAACTATTAATTTAAAAGTCACGCGTAAGTAATAATTTAAAAGTCACGCGCACAGGGAGCAGATGAGTCACTCGACTCTAGTAAAACAATACAAAACGCCGTCTTACCTTGTTAATTGTAACATATTTCATTGTAGCATCCCCATGTGTGCATTCAAAATGCATATTTTACAAATTATAATCTGTTGAAATTGTCGTGAAACCATGTGAAACCATATAAAGTTTATAAACATTGTTTGATTTTTTATTCGTACTTCATGTAACATGAACACCAAAATACGAGTCTACGGTAATTCAAGGCAGAGCATAGTCTCCCGAAATGGTCTTTTATTTTAAAAAATCCATACAATTTGCTTTAAAATGCAATGTTTTGACATGCTCTGTAACTTGGGGAAACTGCCCAAAAACACTTTTACTTCGTATTCTTCGACTGCAAAAGCGGTGCGCACGTATTATTCTAGACGCTGACTTTTCTACTCCTTCTGTTCTTCTTTTTTCCCAGATTCTAATAATCCCAATCTTCGACCTTGTTAAATTTAGGAAACTTCTCTTACTAATTAACATTCTCACAAATCCCAGTGCTCCGTGATCATTTAAGCAAAGGTTTAAATTCTTTTCTTGTATTCGACAACAGGCTCTGACTAGAGCTTGCGCATATGGCCCATATGACCTTCAACCCCCCTTCCCGCGTACTGACTCTGGCAAACGAACATTTCTGTACAAGCAGTACAGACAGTGCTTCCATTTTTTTTAATTGCTTAGATAGCGATTGTAAGCAACTTATCGCTTCGTCATATTGCTCTTCATATACTAATGCGAAACAAAGAATTCCGCGTAAAATCTTTCTTAACAAGCTTAACCTTACTAGAATCCGAGCTCGAATTCCGAGCTCGAATCCGAGCTCGATTCCGAGCTCGAATCCTTGGCTCGGTAAATAGATATCCTGTAAGAGAGATATAATCAATTAGCCTAATAGTCTAGGACCTGTATATGAGTTTGTATGCGTTTCATTTAGCACAGGTAATCTCAACTGTTTTAGGGTAAAATGACCATGGCGGTCAACATGGCATATGTGCCAAAAGCTGAATCCGGGACGAAAGTCCTGAAAATGACCCTGCCCTGAAACGGCAGTGTCAACATAGCTCTAACTTCAGAAAACAAAAAGCGATAGTCTTTCTGAAGTGCTTATAGTGTTTGGAAGGGTTGCTTTTAGGGGTGGTCATTGGAAGAAAAATTTGTCCAAGTATAATA